GTCCTCCCCCTCATCCGAATTGAAAAGAACTTATTCGAACGCCCGCACAATTCTAATGAAGGACCCAGTATAGGGCGCATCCAGATGAGCTAAACAGATTACTCAAAGCAATAAAACATTCAGAATATTCAACTGAACGTGTATGGCACCATCCCCATGTAAGCTGAGGCAAATCCAGATTCAATCTGAGATAGCGGGGACAGCGAAGTGACTAGTGTCTCCAGACTGAGCCAAAACAATTGGAAGGATCAAATTTCTCCCATATTCGTCAAGATGAGCGAGTTCTTAAGGCGACCGCTACTGTGAAATGCCAATGGCCCAGGTTAGAGCAGGTTTAGACTTATCGAAAACTCACTCGCAAGCAATTTTTCCCTTCACCCTCCTTGGTGGTCTGTCCCTACTGGTCGGTTCCCACGAATAATATAAAAGATAACCAAAAACCCACCAGTTGTCGTGGCCCTCCGTCTGTATTGTCCATGTTTTGAAGAACACGTTCTGCATTCTCACTATCATGTCGCGATTCCATAATCGCCAACAGAAGTTTCGACGCTTGACTCTAGAAATAACATGTAAAGTTATACGCCCAACTCTTGACCCTCACCTTGGGCAATGAACGGAAAAGAGAAAAAAAATCCATAAAAAAGTTCCCAGGTTCTAGACAGGTGCGGCGAGGAGTTCGTGAGTGTGAACCATTTCGGTCACTGCATTGATAGACTGCTCTTCAAAACACCAATGGGTGGAGAAAAATGGTATCCTGGACCCCACCCACACAGGGCACGCCATCGCGTTGTGATCATTTCCTGAAAAATACGACCCCCCTAATTCCATCCTCAAATACGACCCCCTCCCCTCCCCATGCTACCTACCACTTTCCTAGATTTTCCCAATTTCCTACCACTTTTCATAAGAAATTTCGATCTTTCACCAAAATTCTGCTGTCGAGCGGGGGGGGGGGGGGGAGGTCGTCAGGATTTAACTATCATTTTCAACTATCGGAAATAGTAGTTGTATAGATCTTTGGCAGTCCCTCTCCCAACAACGACCAAATACGACCCCCTCCCCCGTTGTGATCTTCACAACGATGGCGTTCCCTGTACCCACATCCTTCCGTCCTGTCATTTGATGCGATATTATAGTTACTAAAACTCACCTTAATCTCCAATGCCAGCTCCATGTGATCGTCTGCTAATGGTTTGATGTCGTTCAACACCAACGAGATAATGATGTTCAGACCGTTCTCCTGCATTGCCATTGTATTCTAGAAAAAAAAACGGGGCATTGATTGAAAAGGCTGTTATTTCATTGCAGTTCGCAACAAATTAAAAAAATCAAAGTATTCTAAATGGAAATCAGTTCTATAGTAAATTGTCATGACATATGGGCCGTCTGGTATCTGGATCAGGTAGGTGCGGCAGGGAGGCGGAGGGGGGAGGCATTTTGCGCTTTTTCACTGCACTTTTGCCGCCGTTCTTTCTAGCTAGGTTCCTGTGAAAAACTCACTCCGTAGCATGATACAAGCCTGCTACACTCTTTAAATGTTGGCTTTAAAAAGCTACTTCTTATTAAGATGTCAGGTCCCCGCATGCAGCGTCTGGCTTCGTGTCGGTGGGCAACAGCGAAATTGTCCCCTTCCAAGGCGGCGTGGGCCCCATTCAACATTGGTGACTGCTGCCAAGTACGTTCTCAAGCGCCTGCTCCAGGCATTCGACTACACGACAGTATAAAATCATTGAAAATCGAGGGCGTCATCGAAGCACGATATGAAAAGAAGTGGTTAATTTTCAAATCCCATAGGAGTCACTTAATAGAAACATTGCGCTGACCTGCATTTTCATGACATTGGTTCCCTAGACAGGAACCTCGGTGTTGTGTGATTGAGAGTGGCCAATGGTTGTTTGGGTGATGAGGCTGAAGTTATGCTCACCAATTTCTCCAAACACACCCAAACTACCCTTCGTTGAACCGCATACCTAAAATCAGACTGATCCTGTCAAGCTGGAAGATAACTAGACTGACAGCACGCAGTAGTAGTTTCTTACAGTATCCAGGAAACTGAGAGTGTCGGAAACCAGGATTGTGATTGGTTCGATCGGATTGTTTCCGGATAAAGTTCTGCAGAAGATTATTGTGATTCTCGCATAGGAGTTGCAGTACACGAAGGATTGGTTCGACAATTGCAACCTCAGGCGGTAAAGCGTCACTGGTCCTAAAAATAGGTATAATCCGTTTAGAAAACAGCAGGAGTCAGTCAAGGCTCTGGTAAAGAAGTACACTCGAAATCCCTGCGATGGAGTAGGCGTGGCTGCGTACTTCAACTAAACGTGGCGGTGGCTGTGCTTTTGGTGAGATATTTTCATTTTGAAACAATTGTGGTCATGTCTCTGTCCAACATAGAACAAGATGGCAGTTGTCTCGAGCTGAAATATCCCACGAATAATCTATTCTATGCCATGCTCGAATGCCACGCCCACTCCCTCTTAGGTATAAAGAGGAGCTATATTAAGGGGTATGTGGTAGTGATCTGCAGATAACGCGAGAGGTGCGCTCAGTGCACATAATCGTTGAGGGAATCCTATCGAGAGAGTCTTACTGGGTCATTAGGGAGGGTGACGGGAGAGAGGGTTTCAGCCAGTACCAAGGACCAATTAAGCGGAACCAACACCAGGCCTCACATGGCAGGCGTTATGTCAGTTAGACAGCCCAACTACTGGAGAGGGGAAGTCGAATGCATGGCGGTAACTCACGAGATCAGCTGATGATGAGCAAACTATTTTCTTGTTCATTTTGACAAGAATAAGTTGGTAGGGCTTTTGGAAGGACTTTCGTTCAAATTGAAAGGACACAGAAGGAATCGAGTTTTTGTATGGCTCCAAATTCATCCCATCGAAGCCCATCTTCAATAGTTCCTGAATCTAGCGGATCTCGAAAGAAGGGTAATACGTCGCAGAAAGCAGAGACCTGTCAGGATGCCTCCCCAGCCCCTTATAGGCAGTACGCACGACTGCTGGAAGGGGAGGGGAGGGAGCGGTTGTTGACAACGTCACTGAGGGCGTTTGGCCACACCTCACAACGTGTTGGCAGTTTAGCTGCCCTTGCCTTTGAGCCAAACAGCACTGGAAGATATACCAGAAGTAACATCGACGCTTGACCCATACAAAACGAGTAGTCACGGAGATGCAAGTGAGGCAGCTGTAGTGGTGATCCATGCAAACGATCAGGCGTTTGAAGGCTGGAGCGCAGCCAGGACA